TTTTTTTTTTTTTTTTGAGTTGGAGTCTCACTCTTGATAACTTCGTACTGGCTGATCTGATTTATGTAACACTGACCTTTTTGAGGTCTCCCAGACTGCAGTACAGTGGCGGCTCCCGGTCACCGCAGCCTCGACCAGCTGGGTTCTGGCGATCCTTCCACCTCAGCCTTCCAAGTAGCTGGAACTACAGGCGCATGCTACTACGTCTGGCTAATTTTTGATTTATTGTTGAGATGAGGTCGCGCCAAGTTGCCCAGGCAGGTCTCGAACCTGCGGGCTCAGGCAATCCACTCACCTCAGCCTCCCAAAGTGCTGGGATTACAGGCTGAGCCACCGAGCCCGGCGACACATAACTATTAACTATTAGTGGGATACTAAATTATAATGTAGTTTTTAAAAAGGCATCATCAGAAGAAGCTGGATTAAGGATTAAATTGGATTAAGATTATGCCTGAACTCTGTATTATTCTTGTAACTTTTTTGTACCACTACAATTATTTTATAATAAGTAAAAAGTAAATTCTAACAAGTCTACTTGTAGGTATATGCCTCAAATAATTAAAATTGGGATTCAAACATACTTGTATACCCATGTTCCTTAGCAGTAATACAACAGCAAAAGGTGAAGAAAACCCAAATGTTCACCAATAGATAAATGGATACACAAAATGTGATCTACACCTACAATAGAATATTTAGCCTTGGAAAAAGAATGAGATTCGGACACATGCTATAACACGAAAGAAACTTGAAAACATTATGTTAAGCTAGTGAACTAGACATAAAAGGGCAAATACTACATGATTCTACTTACATGAGGTACTGTAGAATAGGCCAATTCACAGAGACAGAAAGTAGAATAGAGGTTACCAGGGGTTGGAGAGAGTGGAGGATGAGGAGTTATTATTAATGGGCACAGAGTTTCCAATTGGGATAATGAATACACAGTGATGGTTGCACAATACTGTGAATATACTTAATATGTTTTTATATACTAAGCATATGCTTAATAGATTTTTCACTTAATAAACTTAAGTGAATTGTATACTTAAAAATGGTTAAATAGTAAGTTTTATGTTACATACATTTTATCATAAGAAAGTTTAAAAAAATAAAGAAAACTACAAATAATATTTACAATTAGGGAGTAAAGAGAACTTCAGAGATTCTTTACACTTAAAAGTTAAAATCTATGAGATTTTGGCATAAAAACAGACATACAGATCAGTGGAACATAACTGAGAAACCAGAAATGAATCCACGCATTTATGCTTAACTCATTCTCAGTGAGATTACATGGGGAAGAAAAGTCTCATCATTAAATAATGTTGAGAAAAATGGATTTGCACTGGAGAATGAAATTTGATCCTTAACTCACATCATATAAAAATAATCAACTCAAAATGGATTAGTTTTAAATGTAAGGCCTGAAACAATATAATGACTAGAAAAAAAATAGGGAAAAAGCTTTTGACACTGTTTAGAGGAGTGATTTTGGGGTACGATACTAAAAGCACTAGCAACAAAAGCAAAAATAGACAAAAGGAATTGCATCCAACTAAAGAGCTTCTGTACAGCAAAGGAAGTAATCAACAGAGTAAAATATGGAATAGGAGAAAGTGTTTGCAAACCATGTACCTGACAAGTGGCTAATATCCAAAACACATAAGAAACTCCTACAACTCCATAGAAAATAATGATTATAATAACAATAACCACCTAATTAAAATATAAGCAAAGGACTTCACAGACATTTCTTAAAAGAAGACAAACAAAAGGTAAATAGATATATAGAAAGGTGCTCAACATCATTAATCATCGGGGAGACACAAATCAAAACCACAAGGAGATAGCAAGGAGATGTTAGGATGGCTTTTTCCAAAAAGACAAAAGATAACAAGTGTGGGTGAGAATGTGGCAAAAAGAGAACCCTTCCTTGTACACTGTTGGTGGGAAATTAAATTAGTAAGCCATTATGAGTAGAGGTTCCTCAAAAAATTAAAAACAGAATTACATATGCTACAACAACCTCACTACTGGGTATAGAGCCAAAGGGATTAAGATCGGTGTGTGGAAGAGATACCTATAAGCCCATGTTCACTGTAGCATTATTCACAAAAGCCAAGATAGGGAAGCAACCTAAGTGTCTATCAATCGATGTATAGATAAAGAAATTGTGTGTATGGCATGTTATTTAGCCTAGACAAAGATGTAAATCCTGCCATGGGTGTGACACGGATGAACTTAAAGGACATCATGCTAAGCGAAATAAGCCAGACACAGAAAGAAAAATACTGCATGACCTCACTTACATGGGAATCTAAAATAGTTGAATTCTGGAAGCAGAGAGTAGAACTGAGGTTCCCAGAGGTTGGGAGATGGGAAGATATTGTTCAAAGTTTCAATTCTACAAAATAAACACGTTCTAGAGATCCATTGCACATCACTGTGACTATAGTTAATAATGACGTATTGTATACTGGGAATCTGCCAAAAAGGTAGATTTTAAGTGTTTTCACCACAAAAAAAATTATGCAAGATGATGACTAAATTAATTAGCTTGACTGCAATGACCATTTTACAATGTATTCACACATCAAAACAAAGTTGTACACCTTACATATATATAATTGTTATCTGTCAAAAATAAACATGGCCGGGCTCGGTGGCTCAGACTGTAATCCAACACTTTGGGAGGTTGAGGCAAGTGGATTGCCTGAGCCCGCAGTTCGAGACCAGTCCAGGCAACTTGGTAAGACCTCGTCTCTACAATAAATCAAAAATTAGCTAGGCATAGTAGCCCACACCTGTAGTTCCAGTTACTTGGAAGGCTGAGGTGGAAGGATCGCCAGAGCCCAGCACGTCGAGAGTGGGGTGGCTGTGAGCATGCCACTGCATTCCAGCCTGGGCAAGAGAGTGAGACTCCAACTCGAAAAAAAAAGAAAAGAAAAACCCTAGGGATGATATATTAGTCTACTTTTTACTCCAAAGTTTCAAAAAGGTCAGTTCATGCTAAAGCAGAGACTTCTACACTGAGATGTTCTCACTGCTAAGGAGTGTCCTTTTAAGCCTTTCCAAAGACTAGGTTCTTTAATGGCAGACTGAATGTCCCTGATCTCTGTGTCCTGGCACGTCCCAGCACCTGGCACACAGGTGTGCATTACATAATGTTGAATAATGAATGAACAAACTGACCTCTCTCAGTAAGAAACCACTCCCCAAAACGAAGAATTCAGATGTATTATACGAGCAGAAAGAAAACTTATACACAGAGTGAACCCTTGTCAGAGGTAAGTTGGGCCACAGGTTAACCTTTTTGAGACAACCTATAGTTTTTGCTAGTCTTCCTCCATTTCCTTGGCCATTTCACTGATGACAGGAAGGGTCAGAGAGAAGAACTCTCAAAACAGTCAGTTCTATAAATTGACAAGGTTTCTGACTAATCAATAAAAAATGATTATTGAAAATGCATTCTAAACTGGGCTCGGTGGCTCAGCCTGTAATCCCGCGCCTTTGGGAGGCTGAGGTGAGTGGATTGCCTAAGCCCGTGGGTTCAAGACTCACCTGGGCAACATGGTGAGACCACATCTCTACAATAAATAAAAAAATCAGCTGGGTGTGGTAGCACATGCCTGTAATTCCGGCTACTTGGAGGGCTGAGGCGGAAGGATCGCTGGAGCCCAGCAGGTCGAGGCTGCAGTGGCTGGGAGCGGCCACTGCGCTTCAGACAGGGCGACAGAGTGAGACTCCAACTCAAAAAAAAAAAAAAAGAAAATGCATTCTATATACTATTTGGGAGATGGGGTCAAGGAAAGCAACTGAGAAGGGTTTCAAAGCAGGATTGAAAAATGTATGCTTGAAAAACAGTCCTTCTATATTGCTTCTGTGTCACAGGAGGGCTGCCCATCAGTGTCCTAGCCAGTCCAAGGCCCCAAATGATGAAAATGCTGCTACAATTTTCTTTTTGTTAGCAACCTGCAGAGCCACTTACTAACTATACAAAAATAATAAGAAAATCAATCTTATGGTTTCTTGAACATAACTGTTTCTGACCAGATGCAGAAACACCCAGCTTGATCACTCACATGTAGCTGTAAATGATTTTTGTTTATTACCCTAAATCAAATCTAACTACTCTCAGTGATGATATATCACCCACTGTGGATATTCAAGAGGATCTCTGAAGACAATTCCAATAAGCCTTCTTTAAATGGCTCTAGCAATGGCACGATTACTTTTCAGGAGGGTGTCTGCTGATGGTAGGCGAAAATCTCAGTCACATTACTTCAATAACCCATGATACATCTGTTCTCTTGAGGTTGACAGTTTTTAGAAAACTCCATAGCCCACTTTTAATTTTCTACAGCCCATCGCAGAGAGAAGATTCTCCACAAATATCTGCTAACCAATTGATCTTCTCATTTCTTATACTCCAAACATTCCAAAGATTAGAGTTCAGCGGCCATAAGAAAGCAAGAATAAGCCGGGCTCAGCCTGTAATCCCACACCTCTGGGAGGCTGAGGTGAGTGGATTGCCTAAGCCCACAGATTCGAGACCCGCCTGGGCAACTTGGCGAGACCTCATCTCTACAATAAATCAAAAATTAGCCAAGTGTGGTAGCCTGTAGTTCCAGCTACTTGGAAGGCTGAGGCGGAAGGACCGCCGGAGCCCAGCAGCGGCCACTGCACTCCAGTCTGGGCGACGGAGTGAGACTCCAACTCAAAAAAAAAAAAAAAAGGCGAGAATATCTGTGTTCACATTACGATAGAGTCAAGGTAGAGTATACAGATCCTTTACTTTGTGGATGCAGGTGTAGATTCCAATCCTGGCCCTGCCGCTGCTTAGCAAGGAGATGTGATCAGGTCATTCATCTCTCTGAACCTCTATACCCTCACCCTCCCATCCAACCACATTAAATGAAGTTAATGCCTATGGTAATGCGCAATAAATAGCTATTATTCATATGACTGCAAGCAGAATGATTTTGATAGATGCTTACCTCTCTCAGAGTTGGCTTTCCGATGAAAAAGTCTGTGTTTTTGCTGCTTTTGGGTGGGTTGAACTTGGGATTCAGAAAAGCACATCCATTGGCAATAGCCTCCAGGGGAGCCGGGCCCTCGTAAGGGAACCCAAGTCCAACAAACAACTGTAAGACAGAAAAACACACGCCATATAAACATAGCAATCAGGATGGCTGCCCCTGACTCACAGGGGCCAATTCTGTGGTGCTTTCCTGTGTGGATGTCTCAGAGTCCCTGGAAGGCTCCCAGGCCCTGGGGGGGGTGGGGCAAAGAGAAGTCAGCTTACACCCGGATCTGAAAAACATAATCAGGGACTTTTAAAGGCCTCACAAAGCTTCTCAGCTCACTATGGTCTCCTCCTCTGCTAAGGAAGTAAAGAAATAAGTATCCAGGAATAGTGAGGTCGGGGTGTTAAAAGAAAAACAACAACAACCACCAAAAAGCAAGACCCAACAATAATCTTTCTGTAGCTCACCAGCAGACATGACTGGAAAAACACTTGCTTAACTATACAGAAGGTTTCTTCATTGAACCAAAGCAACAACAGGGCCTTTCAGGGATGCTGGACGGAGGGACAGAAAGGTCAGCTGGCGGTTTGATTGCAGTTCAAATGGAACTGCTTTAAAACGACGGTAGGTCAGTAAACACAGGTTTTCATAACAGGGTTTTCACTGGGGGACACCAACATTTTGGGTTTCATTTTCCTCGCAGTGGGCAGAGAGGGTGCTGAGTTGCTGAAACTGTGGGAGGCTGCTTTCCTCTCCAGCAGGCAAACCGTGTGCTCCCCTGAAGACAGACCATAGATGGCAGCAACAACACGCTCTCAAAGTCAGCAGCCCCAGCAGCTGGGAGCTGCAGTGACAAAGGGGACATGCTGCAGTTTGGCTGCGCAGATTCCCAGGTCCAAAAATGAAATAACGACTCATCCCCCGGCCCCCCGTACCATCGTGGGCATACTCCGTATGGCTTGAGCACCGCAGGCCGAAGGCACATCAAGTGACAAAGGATAACTGGGTTTCAGGGTGCTGTTTCTTTCTGCCACCACACTGAAGATCACCCACACAGCTAGGCCCTGAGAGTGAAGGAGTCGGTGGAACTGGATTTTGTTGCGTGTTTGATTATCCTTTGCCCGGCCTCTCCCCAGATAACTTCTCTTCACAGCTGCTTTAATTGAACAACCATTTAGAAAAGTCCTGCTGGAGGGCTGAATGGAGTCTAAGCTACCAGGTTGTATGTGTCAGGCATTCAATACTAGGCCAGCACTAAGGATGGCCCACATGTGACATACTGGAGAATCATGTAGCTCCCAAAGAAATTCTGGGGCAAAGCACTAAAATCTCAAGTTTTCAGGAGAGACTCCCTTTCCTGTTAACTTTTGTTTGCACAGCACCTGGTACTCGATCTTTTTGGCTTTTTTTGAAGGCATAACATTTCATTTCCTGCAAGTCTAGACATCACTATGGCAGAGATATCCATAGGGGAGGCATTTGGGGAGAAAAGCTTTGAGAGACCAGTAGAGGCCTTATTGCTGGCAGGGTCATTTCCCCTTGGGCAGAAGAACCACTGGAGACCACTGGGGGTGAGAAAAGCATGGTAGCCAGGAGCCTAGAAGCCTTATAATAAAGAGAAATCTCTACTACCACTGGGAGGCTCCTGCCCAATCTCAGAAATGAGATTGTCAGAACTTATAAATAAGGGGCATGCCCTGGGCATGTGGCTTAGGGGTGTCGGGGGAGACCTGATATCTGGAGAAACAGTGGGATGTACTAGTCCCAGGACATGCCAGATCTATTAAGTATTAAGAATCCAAGCCGGGCTCGGTGGCTCAGCCTGTAATCCCGCGCCTTTGGGAGGCTGAGG